GCCTTGGACGGCGCCGGCCCGTGGCATGGCCCGTCTGGCCACTGCTGTGAGCCACGGCCATTGCAGCAGCGCAGCTCCCGTGTCTCCCCAGCGAGCTGGCACCTGGGGTCTCCATCGCACTCGCCCCCCTCCCTCCCAGCGATGCCTGTGGGCCGCGCAGTGCCGGCTTGGAGCCCCTCGGCCCTGATCCGGCAGCGCTGCGCTCTTCCCAAAGGGCAGGCTCCCCGTGGCACCCGCTGCTTCCCGGGGTGGCGCTGGCGCTGGCTGGGCAGGGCAGGGCAGCAGCAGCCGGGGAGGACCTGCCTCTCTGCCCACCTGCCCAAGTCGGCTTGGCCAGCGGGCTCCCCCCGGGAGGGGGGCCTGTGGGGCTGCGTGTGCCCAGGGTGCCCCGACCTCTTGCCTCCTTTGCAGGATTTACTGGGGCTGCTTCTACTTTTTCCCGTGGCTCAGGATGTGCCGGCGAGACAAAAGGGAGACGCTGTAACGTGGTACGCCGGACTCATTGGTAGAGCCATGGGGGGGGGGCAATGACAGGCCGAGCCGTGGCCTCAGAACTGCCACGCCGGGAAGGGCGCCTCAGGGGGACAGTGCCTGCCTCAGCCGTTTGCCGTGCCAGCCCTGTCCCGGGCGCGGCCAAAGTCCTCCTCCAGGGTGGGGAGCGAGCGCGTGGCCTACGGCTCTGGCAGCCCTTCAGCAGGCCTCCCGGCGAGCAAGGGGGCACCGTGCTGCCCCCCTGCACGGCTCACCTGCCCGCGCCGGAGCGCTGGGGCGCCCCACCCGGCAGCTGGGGCAAGGCCCTTCCGGCACAGCTGCGGCCCGAGCTGGGGGCTGCCCAGCAAACCTCCCGGAGCCCCAAGGCAGCCGCTGAGCGTGGGGGGCCCGCAGCACGCCCGTCGGGCCCCGGGCCCTGCTTGGATGCCATGGGAACACGGGGGGGGGGGGGCGCCTGGCGCGCCCTGCCTTCCCTAGCAGGCGGGGAGCTGCATTCTGCGATCCGGGTGCCCCGGGCTGGGCATTCCTCGGGTGCTGCCCCGCCTCGGCAATGGCGAGAGTGGCCGGCCGGAGTCCTCCGTGGCCCCGGACAGGCGTCTGTGGTGGGGTGTGGTGGGTGGGCCTGCCCTCAGTGGCGTTGGCAGGGGGCTCTTGCCTCCTCCTCTCTCCAGCTTGCCCCCCCAGGCACCTTTGGAACCCCCCCCCCCGCAGCAGCGCTTGGGCGGTGCCCTGCCCCCAGGCAGACCAAGCGGGAGCGCCTGCCCTGGTTCCCGGCTGGGCCTCCCGCACCTGCGCTCCCTCGAGGCCAGAGCCGCCTCCAGGAGTCGCGCGGGGGCAGCCACATGCCCCTTCCCCCACCAGGGGGCGCCTGGGCCAGGCCCGCATCCCCTCCCCCCCCCCCCGGTGGCTCCACCCGTTTACCCCCCTCCGGTGGCCGGGGGACTCGTGGAAGGGCCCCCTGATCCCTCATGGGGTTGCCTCTGGGGGGCTCTGGCCTCTTCAGTGATCGCCAGGTCCACAGCAGGCATGGGCAGCAGCTGGCGCGCTCGTGGGGGGTGGGGGGGCAGCTCCGCAGCGGCCTCTGCGATGCTTGCGCAGTTGCTGGCCGAACGATGCTGGAGGCGTGTCGGGGCACCGCGGGAGGAGCGTGTCCTGCTGTTCTGGCTGGGCGCCCAGGGGAGCGGCAGGGCCCAGCGGCTCACCTGGTCCCGTGTGCCCCCTCACGCCCAGCCGAGGAACCACGCAGCTTTCGGGGAGGGGGCGCTCATCGAAGCCTGGAGAGCACTGTGCTCGCCAGAGGGCGGGGTGGGTGTTCGAGCGAGTCAGTGTGGCCCGGCCCCCAGGAGCCCACAGGGCGGTTGCCCCTTCGGTGCGCCATTCCGGGTGTTGCGCTCGCTTAGTCGAGGCTCCATGCGATGGCGGCCACGGGCTGCTTCCCCGCCTCCCGGCTCTTGGCCCCTGTACCTGAGGGCCCACCTGTGCAGGGCTGCGGCCCCTCTGCTTGCCGTGGCCACCGCAGGAGGGGGTGAGAGCAAAAGAGCAGTGGGGCTCCGGGGGACACGCGGCCCCTTTTGGGGGTTGCTGCTCCTGCACGCAGTTACTTCTAGACGGGCAGACTGGGGGAACCTGCCATGGCTCGCCGCGAGTTTGGGTGCCCGTGCCTCAGACCTGCAGGTCCTGCGCGGGCTTCACTTTTCCCAAGTCATGCAAGCACACAGGCCCACGTGCCACTTGGAGGGGGGCTTTGCAGGCACTGGCATGAGCGCAAAAGCACATTTGCATGAGTCTGCGTCAGAAGATACTCGTCGGGGCAACAGCATACATGCGCACAGGTGTGAATGCGCACAAACAGAAATCCGATCCCATCCACAACTGCGCAGAAGATGTCACAGGGTCCCTGAAGCACAGCAGGGAGGGACTTAGCAAGAGTGGAGCCGGCTGGAGCCGGAGGTCAGACTAGATGGCCTGGGAGACCCTTCTGACTCGCTCCGTTTCTGTGTTTCATTTTTGTGTGCCCGAGAAATGTGCTGCCGACCCCAGTTGGCATGATTGTCGCCCAGGTCACGTGCCGGGTGCCACACAGAGCAGAACAGTCAATGCCCTTGAGGTGGGGCCAGTCTTAGTGGGGCAGGAGATGGGAGATGCCATCTGAAGACCCCGGACGGGGCGCTGGGCTAGGCCAGGGTTGGGGTAACAGGAGGCCCCCCCCCACAGGCCAGGCTCCGGGTGCCTTTGCACTGTGGGCACCTTCTCCCCGGCTCTTCCAAGCTGGGCGGCGCAATGGGCTGGAAAACACCCAGGCCGTGACCCGCCACCACATCGTCGTGGGGACAGCCCAGCGCTTGCCAGAATGCGGGGTTTTCGTTACCATTTCCACACCCCCTGGGTTTGCACATTTATTCTTATATTTGCCTCATTGCTCACCCCCCTCCTGTAAAGCACATCACAAACTTTTGCATGATTTGATCTCTGCGTGGTTCATTCGCAGCTCCCAGATTCAGAGTGGATAGTGGAACATGGCACTTCTCCCAGGCAAGACTTGCATTGTTTCAGGATGCTTTCAGCAATCACGAGGGACAGAAGCATACTCTTATTTTAAAAATAAAAGTCGATATGCTGAATTTGGCACCGAGCAGTGTGGCGTCCCCTGCGAGGTCCTCGCAAGCAGCCCCTGCACTCAGAGTCCTTCCCGCAAAAGCGCCCCTTTCAGCCAGCAGACCCCCCCCCCCCCCC